TATATATATATATATATATAGTAGGAATGGCAATGGAGCGGGGTGAGGTAGGTTTAAGGCTATACGGTATATATGATTTTATGCGAGTTCAAACTTAATTTTAACTTTTTACGTGTTATAAGAATGATAGATTATTACTTATTAAGATGATTTTTTTTAAAGCTACTAGAATATTCAAACACTAAAACTAACCAACACGTACTACTTTAATATGATTATATCAATTTATCAAATTCACCGCAACACTGTTTCGATATCTTTATCTAAATTTTTCAAAATGTTGAGTCAAATTTTATCATCCTGACTTTATATTATATACTTTTCATTGAAAATTTACATGATTTGCATTCTTACTTTATAATGTCAACGTATATTCTATCTCTCGAGACCTTATTTGTAAGACTACACTAAATATATTATAATTATTCAATTTATACATGGTCAAAGGTGGAGTACTATATCGCGCATGCCTACATTTCAACAAGTAAGAGATATAACAAAAGCAACCAACACTAGTTCCTTGATTCATCATCTTAGAGTTTCACTAACTCTAAGAAATGATCAAATTAGAAAATCATTTAATTTCTATTTTAATTCTATAAAAAGACATGTGTCATTTTTGAATGTAGTTAGACGATACATTTCTTATTAATTTAATAATTTACCTGAATTTAAGATTTCTTTCCTCTATTCTACGGCCGCCTTGAGGCGGTCAGGACAGAACAAAGTGGAACCACTTGTTTCTTCATTTACTGTAACGTTGACGGCATCTTGGAATCAAAGTGTGTAGGACAAGAAGTGGGGAATGAACTTTTAGAGCAAAAGTTAATGTCCATGTTAGGTGAGGGTTCGTGGTTTGGACGAACTCAATAGCTTTTCTGTAGATCCTATGTTTGTACTAGAAAATTATGTAATAATTTGTAAATCCCTAAAAATACTGATTGAAAGCTCAATGATAAGAAAGGAAAAGAAAATTTTGAATTCCCAAACTCCTAGTACTGATTTCGCCTCTGATCACTCCATGTAGAAGCCAAGACATAATCTTCTCTTATCTATCATACCAAATTTGGAATTTGGTTTCTTCCACCAGGCAGATAATCCCTACTTTTGTCTCCAAGTTTTCTTTTTACTTGCCAGTTGCCACTCAGTTCCTGTTAGATATGTTACATTGATGTGGTTGGAAATACAACTGAGGCAGTGTTGTAAAATGGGATCACAACCGGATTTATTAATACTAGTTTATCGAAACGTGCGATTGTACGTTTGTTTCATGTGAATATTTATATAGATCTATTATGTTGGTGTAATATATTGCAAATACAATAAATTACAATTGAAAATAAAATAAC